AGGAGGGATGGCGAGCAGTCTTTCGAATTTTTCCTACACGCGCGGGGGAAGAAGGATGCGTTTGAGAGGCGAACGAGTTTACATTTCTTCTCTTCGTTTTTTAGTTTTCGATGACTGACTTGCCTCTTGATGTCTATATTATTGAACCGTCGTGTAAAGAAGTTTTCGAAGTACGAATTTGTTTAAAGAATCTCTTATTTTTTTTTTTTTTCTTTTGATATACGTACTTCGAATTAAATCTTATTTAAAATTGTTGCGTTTCGAAAAGAAGTTTTTGAATTGAAATATAAAATTCACGAAGTGATTTATAACATTTCTATCTTGTTCGTCGAATAATCACGGAGATCATCACGTATCTAGGCGGGAGAGAAAGAGATTGAAAAGGATTGAAAGCGTGTCGTTCGTTCGTCGAGGATAATTTATCGATTTAGACGAGGCGAGGCGAGCGAAAGATAGAGAAAGAGAGAGAGAGAGAGAGAGAGAGGAGCGACAGATAAAAGAGAAGAAGAAGAAAAAAAAAAAAGAAAGGAAAGGAAGGAAGGCAGAGGAAAAAGAGCACGGGAGGCGACTCTTCATCAGCGATTTAATTCCTGAACGGCGCGCGGCTTCGAGTTTATTTATTTTTTCGCCGGCTCGTGACCGGCGCCAAAACGAGGGCGAAAGAGGGACAAGATTAAAAATCCCCTAATTACTTAATCGCGTTACCCCGATACGACCGTGTCAAAGAGACGAGAGAAGCCGAAAGATACCAGAGAGCTTGCTGCCCTCTTCCCCCTCCTTCTTCACCGTCCTCCTCCCCTCGTCACCGTCCCCGTTTCCAGAGAATTCAAGTGCATTATTCCGTTGCCAACATTCGTCACACAGATTTTTCCGACTGATACTGGGAATTCACAGGGATATTGAAAGTTTTCACCGACAAAGTTTCGATCCATGATATCGTGTGATTAAATATTACGGGATTGATTGCAAAGGAACGGGGATAGAAGGATTTTATCGATCTCTTTTTCTCTCTCTCTCTCTCTCTCTCTATCTCTGGTTCGATGATATTTGAATTTAAAATTGGTGGCCGCCATCTGAAGGATTTTGCCCTCGAATCGTATCAATTGTTGTCGAATCATGATTTTATTTCTTTTCCCGCGCGATTATGATCCGCATCGACAGTTTCGGTTTGGCGGATTGACAAGAGAGTTAATTCGATAGAGTTAATGAATTTTTATTCGTTACGTTCACTCTTCAGTTTCTGCTGCTGCTGCTGCTGCTGTACGATGAAAAAAATTATGAACGGGGACAGGTGAAACGGAAAATAACTTCAGTGCACGAACAATTGAAAATACGGAATAATTTGTAGAATTCGCGGAAATGAAGGACGTGGGGCATAATTACGTACATTTGTGCTGGTAAAAAAGATGGGAGTAATTTTCGATAATTTTCATATCGAAAGGGAAGAATTGTTTTTTAAATAAAAAAAAAAAAAAAATCGTTTTCGACTCGCTATCTTATCTTTCGTTGTTTTCAACGCGCGAAACGTATCTGTCGATCTTTAGAAATTTTCGTTTTCTGAAAATTAATTCTACAATTTTTGTATGTATTCCTCCTATGAGAGAAAAATAAACACTACTTTAAGTCAGATGCAACAATGCTTGAGAACTGATCCTTGTATCACAAGATCGCAAATGCAGAGAAATATCTCTTAGGTGAACAACATACACAAAAATAAAAAGATCGATGTCTCATTCTCTGTCATCACACGTGTCATCTATCTCTTACCTGTTTTATAGATCCTGCGTTTATTTTGTTTATCTTATACAAAAAAATACTGGATTAATTATTTAAGAACGTTTTTTTTTTTTT